GTGTGTGTGTGTGTGTGGAGTCAGTGGAGAATAAAGCCAATTTCAAGTGAAAAAGAGATGAAGATGAAGACGAGAAAGGAAACACTTCAGAGTAACCTGGGAAATCAGGTTCTGCGACCGACTGACGTCAAACACTTTCATGCACCTCCTGAGTTTAACCCCTCGCCCACCAGACTGAAGCTCCCTTTAGGGACACACAGAGTCGCTGATAGCTCCTGAATCTCACCTCTGACCAGTGTCTACCCTGGCCCCAATGTAAATGAGAATTTCTTACCCCAAAATATTCCATAATAAACTTGTTATCACTGTACTCAAAAATTAGCTACATTTTCTGAGAAAATGGAAAATAACTGTCCAACCCTTTATCAACGAATGGGACAGAAAATGATCTTTTCAAACGGAGTGGTACAATAGAAGAGCGGCTATCTGGCTGTGCTAGCAGTCGGCTACAGCTAACCTGAACAACCGGCCCACAGTGAACCAGGAGAGGTTGTCGGCACACATACAGAGTCAGAGAAGGACTGCTGCCAGAATGAGACTGACCAAACTGAACTAAGACCACACTATTTGCAAGTAGATCTATAGATTGGTGAGTCTACAGTTAGGTAACTTTGGCTTTAGGTTCCTATGAAACTGAGTGTGTGTTTTAATGGTTGCTGACTCATTACGGATAAAGGTTGCATCCTGATGCTGGGCGAAGGCTGCTGTGCTTTCAGTTTTTTAGTTGTTTATTCCTCTCTTGTGTGTGATTCCTGTATCATCAATGAACGTTGATTTTAGATATCAGTGTGTGTGCAGTACTTCCTAGATTCCAGTCCATCTAAGACATGTAATATCTGCCCTTTCTGATAAAAGAAACGCTTTATAATCGGAGCTATCGCACAGTGCCTACCTTGTTACTGACCTCACTGCCTCCTGTGGAAAAGAAATGATGTACCTTAATATTCCTGGAGGAAAATACATTGGGTAACGGCTGATACATGTCTGTCACTTCGACTTTAAGGGGTAGAAAGTTTCTGGCAGAAGAATGCGTTCAGTGTGATTATGAATAAGATGGATAACAATAATTCCCCCTGGTTTTGATCAGATTCAATCAGTGCTGTCTGAGACATTGTGTGTGTGATTGATGGGTGACTCATTGTGTTTCTGATTTCACTATGGAGGGAAAAATGCTGCTATTACACAATCAGTGACGATCCACAATGACGAAAGACAAAATCAGTATTTTTAAGAAATGGAACATTTAATGGCATGTCTGTCTTTCATGTTGAGCTAAAGTTCAGGCAAACGCAGCACCACACTCACACACAGTGTCAAAAAGCCCCATCGGGACAGCATTTATGTCTAAGATTTAACTTGTGACTCTATTAAACAGCAGAAGGCGCTACCTAATTTTGACTTTGCTTGTTCTACGCCGCGTCAGTAGCTGTATGAATGCATTGTTGTATGAACAGGATAATTATCACAGGAGCTTTAATCTAATGTACGGAGGCTTCTGGGTCAGGAATGATCACTGCTGTTGGTCTGTAAGGTCCATTTAGTGTGTGACATGAGGCTAAACCTGACTTGACTTGAAATCTGAACCCGGGTACCTGGAAGGCTTCTTTGGCGATGGCGTCGTCCTCGTCGCCACGGGCCCACGGCTGTCCGTGTTTAGAGTTCAGACTGTCCCCGAACACGTCGATGTAGAAGAAGACGTACTGCTCATGAGGAAGATCTGCCAGCTGAAACTGAATCATCAACTTCCTGAAGATGTCCGGCGAGCAGCAGACAAACATCACTGTAAAGACAGAGAGAGAGACAGGAAGCGGTTTCAGTCGAGGTTCAGGAAGCCACTGGGGCACATTGCTGGTTAGTGAAGTCAATGAAGTCATATTAATCTTTAAATACATCATCATTAATGATTAATTTCATCTTTAATGAAATGACGAAGGCACTCAGAAAGCTCCTTTCTTAAACAAATAACTTTATAACTTTATGGTAAATAATTCTAGAAATGAACACAGACACGAAAGTAAAGAGTAAAAAACAAAAACGAATAGCTAAACATCAGTTCTGTAAAAACAACAAAAGTTTTTGCAATATAAAAAGGTTTTTATACGGGCGCATATCGGATGGTACTGATACGTCTAGGTAGGTAGATAGGTCAATATCGGTATATCAACAGATCGGTCGGGCTCTAGTAGAAAGACTAACAGACTAATATGGTGAGTTTTATTCTGTTTCTGTCTACTTTGAATGAAGTTACGATG